TGCTTGTAGGGTGACCCACGTTTCTTGCTGCCCCGACGCTTTGTAACATGAGAAGAACTCGTCGATCGTCATGGCCTCTCCTCCATTCGCCTTAGGCCACGCACTCGCACGAACCGGGAATTGATTGAACGCATTGGGCATCAACTGCCCCGGCGCTACCTCCAGGCGATTTAGCACATCAACCACCACTTGAGGCAATGGCAGCCTCAGCCCCCCTTTCAGCGCCTCCTCGTACAGGGAAAACTCCCCTGGCTTCACCATAGACGGCCTTTCCTCTGGTGTTGGCAACCGTAAATCTACCTCCGCCGGAATCTGGTACCGCTCCCTAATCGCCTCCAAATCCGCCACCGTGAGTGTGGATTTGTCCGCCTTCGTGTGCCACTGCTCCGACTCCACCTGGTTTAATGGCTTTGGGGCCAATATCAAGGCCGACGCCTCCGTCCTATACTGCGCTGCTAACTCCTCCCCATCATCATCGCCCAACGGATCTACCCTCACATTAACTACTTCTTCTTGTGCCATTTCTAGGGCTTGCTCACAAAACACTTCTGACGCAGACGCAAGAAAGTTGAGAGAATGCTACACAGATATGTCGCACGCCGTGAAGGAGTTGACACTTGGATATTTTGAGTTTTTGTACCCAGGTAGGTGAAACGCATTATACCCAAAACCTACGGTTTTACCCGTATTCCACGGATCCACATTAATTTTCGCCCGTTTCAAAACCTTTCAAATCAACCGCCAAAACCGTCTTTTCAAAACCCCCCGTGACCTATCGTTTCATTTTCTGCTCCAACGCTTCATTTCCCCCCACGATACTGCCACGTGTGTGGCCACGATGCACTGTCCCCTCCCCTTACCCTGTCCTTTCCATTTTCACATCAGCACATTTTTGAGCCCCGCGCCGTCCTGGTCGGCACACCTCACGGTCGACCCCTCCCGCTCGGCCACCCTCGCGGTCGGCACGCCTCACGGTCGACCCCTCCCGCTCGGCCACCCCTCGCGGTCGGCACGCCTCACGGTCGACCCCTCTCGCTCGGCCACCTTCGCGGTCGGCACGCCTCACGGTCGACCCCTCCCGCTCGGCCACCCTCGCGGCCGGCACGCCTCACGGTCCACTCGGTTCGCACTTCTCTTCCTTATTACTATTCCCTTCGTTGGACTAAAGCTGTACTCAGAAATGGGGGACTACTGACATGGATAGGCCCA